TTATCATGTCCTAAAGACCATAACAAACTATGTTAAGACTTTTTTTTTTTTTTTGTTAGAAATGGAAAACGGTACAGGGCAAGATTCCCTACATGTGGAAAAACAATTTAAGAAACTGAAAGGAGAGGTACAACTGTAACAATGAAAGTGTTACAATTTGCCTTATTTTAGTTAATAAAAGTATTACCTGGTCGAAGAGCTACATTCATACACTGCAAAAGGGCATCAGCTGCATTAGTGCAGGCTTCAATGCCTCGAGAGGATGCCAGATCTCCCTCTTGGAGGGCCTTGATATGACCTTTTGCCAAATCCATATGATTCTAAAAGATAAAATACATTAATATAAGCAAAGCACTGGCTCAGAGTTTAGTTTCATGCTATTCTATTGCAAGAAGACTGATATTATAAAATGCTTCTAACAATACTTATTTCCTAAAACAAAAGGTCTCAGATTTCAGGCCATAATTAACATTCTTACAACTAGGAATTCAATTTCCGACAGCAGCTTCACATTATTCGTGTTGCTGAGATGAATTAGGTGGTTGCTTTCTGATATCTGATCCATTTGCTCTTTTACACTTTGAAGCATTTCTTCATAACTGCTCAGCTTCAGTTCAATTTGATCCACTTCCTTCAGAGCTTCATCCAGCAGCGTCATCAGGATGTTCACCTGTTTCTCAGAGGCCATGATTGACTGGATGTTTGCCTGAAGGATAAATACACAATCACTTTATACCCTGTGAAATTATATATTGTTTTAAACAGCACCCTCATATCAAATACTGTACCTCCCAAAATGTTAGGCTATTCTGGCTTTCTCCAATTTCAATTATGTCAAAGTATTACGGACCATAGAGTAGGTGCCAGAGATTCTCAACCTTTTCCGTTCTGAGGACCTCACAGTAGGTTATAAAACCTCCATGGTCCACCTGTATCACAATAAGTTATTTTCTGCATATAAAAGCCAGGGCTGGTGTTAGGGGGTAGCAAACAGGGCATCTGCTTGGGGCCCCATGCTACAGAGACCTCTGTACAGTTAAGTTGCCACGCTTTGGCTTCAGTCCCAGGTGGCAGGGCAAAGGGCCCTGGAATTCAGCCCCACGTGGGAGAACTTAGGGGGCTCGTCTACACTGGCCCCTCTACACTGGCCCCTTTTCCGAAAGGGGCATGTTAATTTCACAGGTTGTAATAGGGAAATCCGTGGGGGATTTAAATATCCCCCGCGGCATTTAAATAAAAATGTCCGCCGCTTTTTTCCGGCTTTTAGAAAAGCCGGAAAAGAGCGTCTACACTGGCCCCGATCCTCCGGAAAAAGCACCCTTTTCCGGAGACTTTGAAGTAGGAATAAGAGCCTCCGGAAAAGGGTGCTTTTCTAAAAGCCGGAAAAAAGCGGCGGACATTTTTATTTAAATGCCGCGGGGGATATTTAAATCCCCCGCGGATTTCCCTACTACGATAGTTGAAATTAACATGCCCCTTCCGGAAAAGGGGCCAGTGTAGACGTAGCCAGGCTGTCTGTCTGAGATTCAGTGAGTCTGATGCTGGCTGTGCTTGATGGATTCCCTGAAGTCAGGTGTCAGCCCCTTAGGGGGCCACTAGACTCCAGTTTGAGAACTACTGCCTTAGGCCAGGATGGAGTATGCACTCTTCTTATGGGGAAAAAAAAAAAAAAAATCAGTAAAAATATTTTATGTTTTGCCCTATGAAAAGCTGGAGTTAACACTATGTATCTGTTTCTGCATAAATGAACTCAATGAGAAAAAACACAGTTTTCAAACTTAAGGCAAAAAATTGTTTAGACAGAAAACGTCTTAAAAAAACGGGATCACAAACTTCGTGAACTTTATGTAAATGAGGCTATAACAAAGAATTTACAGAGTTTTCTTGGTGTTTATTTTAATTACCCCACTGTCAAATATCAGTCTAATTATTCAATACTGTGACATTAATCCAAAACTCCTAGTTGTCACTGTTGGTGATCATATCCTAATGTGAGTAGCCGCGTTTTTTTCAAAATGGGGCTTTGAAAGAAAAACGGCTGTTTCTAGACAGGGATTGATCGAAAATAAAACCCTTTTTCAAAAGAGCCTGTAGTCCAGGATCCCTGTCTAAACAGCCGTTTCTTTCAAAAAGCCCCATTTTGAAAAAACGCGGCCGCGGTTATGCAAATGAAGCACAGAAAATTTAAATCCCAGCTTAATTTGCAATTTCCAAGTGTCTAATTCACATCCCTTTTTCAAGAAAAGGGATGTAGTTTAACCACAGCCAAAGACAGCAATATATGTATCAAACTATTTGCAATATGCAAGATTATATTCTTTAGCCTCTACTTTAGAATGTACTGTACATTCAGACAAATATAAAATGTAACAAATGCATAAAAGCAGAAGTCTACATACAGTAAACTTCCGATAATCCAGCACCTTTAGGACCCGGGGGTGCCGATTATCAGATATTCCGGACTAGCGGAAGGGGGGGCTATGAGGGGTCTGGAGTGGCATCCCCATCCCAGACCCCTCATAACCCCCCCTTCCGATAGTCCGCCATATTTTATAATCCGGCACACTCTGGGTCCTAAAGGTGCCGGATTATGGGAAGTTTACTGTACATACAAAAATCATACATCTTGAATAATCTCCAATTACTATAAAGTAAGTAATTTTTCTCTTTCATGTTCTCTGTCACAGTTATATATTTTCCTTTCTAGCAAGCTTCAGCAGCCATCCAGATCTTCAAGGTCCTTTAATGAGATGTTTGCAGCTTCTCCATCACTTCAGAGCCCAACCCATAGTGTTGATTGGGCTTTCAACCAGGTACAGTATAATATTAACATATATTGAATGGTATTTTGGTCATATGGGGCTGGGTTTCTTTTTCTTCTATGTAGTCACATTGACTAGTTATCTAGTATTATCAGAATCATAGAATACTAGAATTGGAAGGGACCTTGAGAAGTCATCAGGTCTCAAGTCCCCTGCACTCTCAGCAGGACCAAGCACCATCTAGGTTAGTGGTTCCCAACCATTTTTATACCGTGGACCAACAAACTCATTAAAAACCATTGGCAGACTGGGTTTGGCCCCCCCAGCACTGCACCTCTGCCTTGGGCTTCCTGGAGTCAGCCGCTGGTCAGTATCAGCAACGGCTGAATTGGGGACAGCTGGGGTGCTGCCGGGTTGGTCCCGCAGCCCCAAGGGGCAGCGCTACGGGACCTACCCGGTGGCACTCCAGCTGCTCTGCCCCCAGCATCCCCGATTCAGCCACTGGTCAGTTTTAGCAGCGGCCGGAACCATCAGGAGTGCAGGACCATCAGATGCCGGACCATCGGAGTTTTACTGTAATAACATTCCAGGATTATGTCTGTGTCATACTGAAGCCACGAAAGTCTGTTGAATCAACATGATGAGATGAAAACAGCTACAAGAATTATTGAGAGCTTTTAGAATATGAAAAGGTTCAATTTATCTCTATGATCTGTAGTCTAGTACCATACAATTTCTCAGCCATTTTTGGCCTCAAGAAATCCTTACCCCATCTAACACCTGCAGCTCTCTGGATAGCTTTTCTGCAAAGGCTTCAGCATTAGAGATGGCATATTCACAGCCTTCCATCATTATTTCAATGTCCTGTTCCTCTCTTGCATTTAACTCCTGATATTCATCCACAGCTTCTTCATCTCCTCCTGCTACACTCTGATTTTCTCCACTTGGAACAGATTCTTATAAGGGGAAGGGGGGGAAAAGCCCACAAATTCATTTTTGTAATAAAAGAACAGGAAGAAGTGCTACCATTTTAAATGGAGATAGATAATTCAAAATCCTTTAAATAAAAGTAGTTAGTTTAGACTAAAAGAGATGGCCACATCAAATAGAGGAAAGAAAAACACACACAATACAAAACAAAAACAATACAATACAAAAACCAAACAAGCATGCATGTGGATCTAAGTCCTACAGTTACTTCAAAATCCGTTATAAGGTTATAGGGATGAGAGTCAAATTTAAACCTTCATAAAGGAAGTTTGGAGAATTTCAGTAACACATTTTGAGGCATTACCAATTCATTCCTTCCCTATTCCACAAACAAGACAAGGAAGCCTCATGGTCATGGCTACTGAAGACTGCTCAAACAGTTGTCAAAAGCACCCAGGAAATTACCTACAAGATGTATCTCAACCTATATACTAATACAAATTAGTAGAATTGGAGGCCACTTACAAATTCAAGAAACAATGGGACTTACTCTATTACCAATGATGGCAAGTTAGAAAAGGATAATAAATGGCAAGATTGTTAATGTCAAGAGACCGTTTCTTTGGCAGGACGACATTCTACTTCCATAATCCTAAACAACAGGTCTCAAACCTACCACTCTGTCTTTTACTAGACATTATGTGCAAAGGCTAGTAGATGTAAACAATTCCCCCAACACATCTCAGAGCTCACAGATTATAAACCAGTTGAATACAAGGCAGTTTGCATGAATTTCATGATTTTTAAGCCAAAGTATTTGGAAGCATCTGTGCATTTTCTCCCTATTCTTCCAAAAAGATCAGATGATTAGGGTTGGTTTGGTTTTGTGTTAGTGGCTACCACTTTAGGATTAGCAATCTCATGGTTTTGATGCCTGAGTCGTGATTTTTGAACACCTGGGGTTAGCAGTGCTATTTGCTGGTATTTACTTTACACTGAAAGTGCTAACATTTGTCATTTTTGTAGCAATAATGATTGGACATTTCCAAATGCAGGCAGAAAAATTGTGACTCCCAAATTCTAACTTGATATGCAGGTTAATATGTGCTGCATTAATCCTTAGGTTTTCTTTTACAAATGCCTGATGCTAAATACCTGTGATTTTCCAGGGTATTAAGCACATAACACATCCCACTGAAGTCAATGAGAGATGTTGGGTTCTCAGCACCCATTTCTTCTCTCCCCGCAAAAATCAAGCCATTTACTTAGTATTTAGGAGCCCAACCTTAGCCATTCAATTTGGAAAATCTTTACCTCTGCCTCTAAAATATGTTAAGAGTAATGAAGTTGTTCTCTAAATAGAAACCAAATTCACTAAGTAGGAGTGAAGTTGATGCTCAACAGAAGTTTCCCAAAGGAAGAGGGGAGGGGGGGAAAAAAAAGAAAATGAGAGTTACATCTCAAGACATTGATTAAAAAAAATGTAAACAAATATCAGCTGAAATCTGACACAGATTTCAGTGTTTATTTGCTTTCACTATAATAAGCTTATGGAAACAAGTTTAAAGAGACAGATTAAAAAAGCATACAAGACATTAATATTGTCCCATATACCTTGTGTGTCACACCTTTCTCTAGCAATTTAAAAGATAGTCAATAAATTGTTTCAAGAGAACTAAAGCAACTTAATTACAAAAAAAAAATCATTACACAAAAGAATAAAGAAGGAAAAGGTGTTACGCACCTTCTGCAACTTTAGGCAGTTCTGGAGAATAAAAAGGTATGAAAAAGCAGAGGAAAGGAAGCAAAGAATATTAGCTGGGCAGAGTATGAACATCGTGTGTGTCTTTTTAAATGGCAACAAGATTGAATGTTACAACATCACAAAGGTTTTGAAAAAATTCAAGTTCAACATGAAAAAGGTCCCCGAAGAGCTTTTCCCTTCTAAATGCCACTTTAGTCTAATGATAAACTCAAGTGTATCTACACAAGACATTTCAATTGTTTAATACTAGCATGATTTTTGCCATTTCTGTTTAAAGCAATCTATGAAATGTCATCATTCCATTGAAATTTGTACAAGATTCTAGCCATCGAAATGATTTTGCCTTTTACGGTTATGGTGATAAAGTAAGTTTACCCTGGTTAGTCTGATGCACCAAAGATTACTCAAAGACAACTGATTAATTACTACATGCAATTAAATCCTATGCAGGCATCCCAAGATATACACAAGAGTGTTAGATTATCCTTGAATAATCCAAAACAAGTGCAAAAAAATGAAGACTGCACACATTTATATAGCATAGTAAGATTTATACAACCACTCAAAGGCAAGTGAAATGCCAGAATAAACTGTTTTCTCCTTTTCTTAGATTTACTCTATGAAACTTACACATTACCTTTATTGTGTTAGAGTGCTAGTGAATATTGAAATATTCACTAAGTATTCTATGTCTCCATCATACAGACTGTTTCATTTTTAGAAAATGACTTCCATTTGTTAACACAATGAACCTGCTTTCCCCAATACACATTTGTTCATTTGAAGCTACATTTACAAATACTGTAGTAAAATTCAACATAGTTCTAGTATTTAGTGCACTGACTGAATTAGTATCCCAAAAACCAGACTTTGCATTTGCTGTTTATATATTTTAGTGCTATCGTCATCTCATAATGCCGTAAAATGGTAAAATTTGTTTATAAAAAACCACCATTATTGAATTTTACCTTCCAAAAGCTGGGCACTAACATTTATGAAGTCAGTTTTCTTTCTAAGATATCTCTGGTTCAATTTCCAGATACATGAAATGAAAGTATTTTTTTCTGCTGTGCTGCTGGCGACCCATTTGTACACTTTGTCAAAATGCAAATCAAATTCAGGATTTTCCTGCAAAAGACAAGAGAAGTCATGAGGCTGATCTGTACTGAACATTACCCAATGTTAAGTCCATTGTTCAAACATTTTAGAACACCAACTTTTCCTACTGTAAAAGTTTCATATCCTCTTAATGCTATACATTCTGTGCAAATGAGACTTACGTTCATTGTGACATATTACTAGTATTACTGCTAACATTCCTCCTACAAGCACTGGCATGAAACTGGGCATGACAGGAAATGAAATCTTCATTAGAACTATTTCCCACAAAGCACTATAAAAGAATCTCAGTTGCCTAAGCAGCTCACACTGACAAGTGTGATGATTAATGTTACATTATAAAAAGTGTGTGCATACACACAATTTTATAAATAGGTGCATTATAGATGATGTGAAAGGCAAGGGTCCTGTGGGGCGAAAAAAAATATGATCCTGTAATTGAAACTATCATAATGCATTCCCAGAAGGGAGCTGAATTAAAGGTGCACAGGCAACCTTAACACTGACTTTTCTATTAAATTCTGAATGCTTGACTTGCAATCATAATTTTTATTAAATATTTTAAGCTATTTATGAATAGTTTATAAAGTATCATACAGTAAACCGCCCTCAAGGCAGGATCAAGCTCTGTCTACACCATCCCTGACAGATGTCTATCTAACCTGTTCTTAAATATCTCCAGAGAGGGAGATTCCACCACCTCCCTTGGCAATTTATTCCAATATTTGACCACCCTGACAGTTAGGAATTTTTTCCTAATGTCCAATCTAAACCTCCCCTGCTGCACTTTAAGCCCATTACTCCTTGTCCTGTCCTCAGAAACCAAGAGGAACAAATTTTCTCCTTCCTCCTTGTGACACCCTTTTAGATATTTGAAAACCGCTATCATGTCCCCCCTTAATCTTCTTTTTTCCAAACTAAACAAGCCCAGTTCATGAAGCCTGGCTTCATAGGTCATGTTCTCTAAACCTTTAATCATTCTTGTTGCTCTTCTCTGTACCCTTTCCAATTTCTCCACATCTTTCTTGAAATGTGGCGCCCAGAACTGGACACAGTACTCCAGCTGAGGCCTAACTAGTGCAGAGTAGAGCGGCAGAATGACTTCACGAGTTTTGCTTACAACACACCTGTTGATACAACCTAGAATCATATTTGCTTTTTTTGCAACAGCATCACACTGTTGACTCATATTCAACTTGTGGTCCACTATGACCCCTAGATCCCTTTCTGCCATGCTCCTTCCTAGACAGTCGCTTCCCATCTTGTATGTATGGAACTGATTGTTCCTTCCTAAGTGGAGCACTTTGCATTTCTCTTTATTAAACCTCATCCTGTTTACCTCTGACCATTTCTCTAACTTGCTAAGGTCATTTTGAATTATGTCCCTATCCTCCAAAGAAGTTGCAACCCCACCCAGTTTGGTATCATCTGCAAACTTAATAAGCGTACTCTCTATCCCAATATCTACATCATTGATGAAGATATTGAACAGTACGGGTCCCAAAACAGACCCTTGCGGAACTCCACTTGTTATCCCTTTCCAGCAGGATTTAGCACCGTTAACAACAACTCTCTGACTACGGTTATCCAGCCAATTATGCACCCACCTTATCGTGGCCCTATCTAAGTTATATTTGCCTAGTTTATCAATAAGAATATCATGCGAGACCGTATCAAATGCCTTACTAAAGTCTAGGTATATGACATCCACCGCTTCTCCCTTATCCACAAGGCTCGTTATCTTATCAAAGAAAGCTATCAGATTAGTTTGGCATGACTTGTTCTTCACAAACCCATGCTGGCTATTCCCTATCACTTTATTACCTTCCAAGTGTTTGCATATGATTTCCTTAATTACCTGCTCCATTATCTTCCCTGGGACAGATGTTAAACTGACCGGTCTGTAGTTTCCTGGGTTGTTCTTATTCCCCTTTTTATAGATGGGCACAATATTTGCCCTTTTCCAGTCTTCTGGAATCTCCCCTGTCTTCCATGATTTTTCAAAGATCATAGCTAAAGGCTCAGATAGCTCCTCTATCAGCTCCTTGAGTATCCTGGGATGCATTTCATCAGGACCTGGTGACTTGCTGACATCTAACTTTCCTAAGTGATTTTTAACTTGTTCTTTGTGTATCCTATCTTCTAAACTTACCCTCTCTCTGCTTGTATTCACTACGTTAGGCACACCTCCAGACTTCTCAGTGAAGACCGAAACAAAGAAGTCATTGAGCATCTCCGCCATTTCCAAATGCACGTTAAACATTTATTATAGGAGTAATAAAGCATATTCCCCCTGATCTTGATGGAAATCTGATAGTCTTCTAAAGTAGGTAAATGTAAATAGCATTATAAATGAATATTCAAAAAAGCTAATAGAAAGAACATTAAAGGGAAGAAAGAATGAGTAATACTTGGGCTGGTCTACACTACAACTTAAACTGATGTAATTTATGTCACTTAGAGTGTGAAAGATACCCCCTTGAGTAACATAAGTTACACTGACCTAAGCACTGTCCACACCCATGCTATGTCGGCAGGAAACATCATCCCACTTACACAGCTTCTGCCACTCAAAGGGGTGAAATAATTGTGCTGATGAGAGCACTCTCCTGCCAGTATCTTCATCAGATGTGCTACAGCGGCATAGCTATGCCAATGTACAGTAAACTTCCGATAATCCGGTACCTTTAGGACCCGGGGGGTGCCAGATTATCAGATATGCCAGACTATCAGAAGGGGGGGCTATGCGGGGTCTGGAGTGGGGTGGGAGGGGATGCCACCCCAGGCCCCTCATAGCCCCCCCTTACGGTAGTCCGGCTCTGCCCCAGGCGTCCCTGATTCAGCCGCTGCCGGTCAGTTTCAG